GGGACGAAAGGGGGAAATGCGATGAAAAAACCTTACCATTAGACGATTTTATATGGAGTCATAGGCGGAGATCGGAGAGACTTGAATTATTAATTGAATTTATATTTTATTACAACTGGTAGTATTAATATTTTTTTGCGATTCATAATGACGTGATACCAAACATACATTATAAGAAATAAATATACACAAACACTGAATATTGAGAACAAAATAAATATATTTTTTAGGCAACAAGTAATATTCCTATGTACGCATTATGATTGAACAGCAAAACAAATTATGCATTCTTCTAAAATAGAATACAACAAGTCAAAAATATCTGACTGAATAGAAAAATATAGGAAAACAAAAAGTAATTTCTTGATGAAATAACCCATAAACAACACATAGAATTAGACTTTCTACTGAGATACTAAAAGCCACAAACCAATAGTATAATAAATGAATATCTAAAAATTCTAAAAGGTAGCCAATCTAGTATAGTTTCAATCCTGATTAGAGTCATGATCACTGTCTGAGGAACTGTCATTGCTATCACTTTCACCTCCTATGTTGATTATTATTTCTTCCTGTATTTCTTGAATGAGACTGTCTTTTTCCCAATATTCATCTTCAATTTTTATAACATGTCCAATAACCTTTTGCCAGTCACTGGCACTTACTGAAGCGATGGCCTTATTAGAAATTTCATCTAGTTTTTTTATAGTAAATTCGCCGCTTGTATTATGGCTTCTAATGAAAAATTTTACTTGTGCCCAAATCATCTCTATGGGATTAAACTGACACATATAGGGTGGCGTTCGAAGTGGGGTGTGTCCGAAACTTCTTATTAAATTATCTATCTTATAATTTTTCTCATCAGATGGTGGCCTATGTAGACAAGCTATTTCATAAAGCTCCATTTTTTTAGCATTAGGATCATGCTCTATACCTTTTTTGCTCAACCACGTGATGATGTCTCTTTTTAGAGAAGATCTAGTTGGAGGCTTGTCTTCCAAAGCTGAATGGTAAGGTGCATTATCCATTATTATAATACTATTAGGAGGAATGTTAGGAAATAGTTTTTCAGTAAGCCACTTCGTGAAATTTTCTTGGTTCATTTGACCGTGATAATCACCAGTGGCACAGCCAGCCTTGAAAATGAGACAGGCTCCAGGAACAAAACCATCTTGCGAACCCGCATGAACAATTATAAGTCGTCCTGGAAATGAATAAATAGCCTCATTTTAGTGTTATTTTAAGTTTGCCAACACCTTTTTGAATCACTATGTATAAAAAACATATTTTTGAGAAAAAAATACTTGCAAGGGATTATGTATTCAATTAGACAAATTAAATGAGCACTTATTAAGAATATTCCAAAATTGAGAAAAATGTATAATAAGCAAAATCGAGGTGAAAGAAACTTTATTACCTGTAGAACTTATATTGCTCAGGACACCCATAATTTCTTCGCTTTGCCAGCATTTCTTGAAAGTGAGGTCATTATCAACCCAAGTTTCGTCCAAATAAATAATATGCCTTCCTTCTTCCCGGAACTTTTTAATAGACCTAAGATACTTGTATCGCCAATGTAAAATACTGGGTCTTTCCATTAGTAATTTCCTTTTGTTGTGGCATTTACGCCAGTAAAATCCTTTTGCTTTTAAAAGCAGCCTCAACGATTCTTTACCAAATGGAAATTCCATTTCTTCCTTCAGTTTGATTAGAAGTTTACTACAAGTAGGTACCACTTTAAAATCAAAGTAAAATTTTTCTATCATTCTCCGAATAATGGAAAAATCGACTCCATCAATTTTTTGGATCACAGAAGGGCGTGATCTCTTTTTTCCGGGAGAAGCTAAAGGCTGTGTGGAGGTTGCATTTTGCCTGTCTTTATCTTCTTTTCTAATTTTACTTATAGTTCGTTCACTAACACCCGTATAATATGCCGCCCTTGCATTTCTAGCTACCAGTGGATAAACGAAAGTATTGTTAGCCGCTTCTGCATCGCAAGCACGTATCACGTTTGCTATTATTTCCCTTGCCTGGCTGTGAATAACTTTCCCATGCTTGAATTCCATTATCACCACTAAACAGTAAATTATATTTTCAAAGTATTTGCCAACTGCCTACGCCTATGGGAGTAGGTTTATAAATGACCGTGCCATCGGCACGTTATTCTAGTTTCAGATAAGATAAGAGTTTTGGACCAATCAGCGACCGGATGTTTACCTGCGGCCTGGGTTTTCCAGCTACATTGCCAAATTCAGCGGAACAATTCTATATCTTAAATATGTTAATATGTATGGACCGCATTTTATGTAGAACATCTGACAACTTCGCAATTTTTTGTCCGCATTCTTTCGGCTTGCAATCTTTCGCTGGTCCAACAGTAGTCGGTGTAAGGAACTCGTGGCCTCGTTAATGCACTACTTTGAGCAAGAAAGGGACAACAACGGGCCTTTGTTGCCTTTAAATGCTGTTCAAGAGGTAGGTTACTAATAATTATATGTAATGTATATTAATAATAGTGAAATTTTATTTCATTTTTTGTAGCGTGTTGCTGCTGCTTTAAAAATTAGTTTAAGGACAGTTAGTCGTATTTCCGAGGGTGTGAAAAGTGATGCAAATTTAGAATCGTCCAAGAAAAAGCGGAGTTATATTAAACGTGTAACCAACACAGCGATATTGGATACAAGTGCCATTCGAGAAGTGTACTATAATATGTATCACAAAAGTAAGATCTTATTATAATAACTTATCAGAAATTTGCATGAATTTGTTAACTAAATTATAATGTCATATTACACATGGTTTCAGAAGAACAAGTTACGATACAAACTTTATGGTCTCGATTAAGAGATAGGGCATTATTTGATGGTAGTGCCACGTCTTTAAGGCGGTTGCTTAGAGATCTTGGATTTAAGTGGCTTAAGGACAATCCGCGACGAGGGCTCATGGAACTACCAAGTATAGCTTTGAAAAGGGTGGAATTTCTAAGGCAATACAATCAAGCCAAGGTTGAGGCCTTATACCAGTTTGTCTTCCTCGATGAAACTTGGATATTTCAAAATGGTACCATAGGTCGCTCTTGGCAAAATGGAAACCAAAAAAGCGTGAAAGCTATTAAAACAGATGGTAAAAGGTATGTACTTTTACACAATTTGCACTATAAAATTTAAAACTAATATATTTTAGATACATTATATTACATGCTGGAAATGAAAATGGGTTTATTGAGGGTAGTGAGGCGATATTTTCTTCGAAAACAAAATTGAGCGATTACCATGGAGAGATGAACCAGGACAATTTTTTGAAATGGTTTCAACATCAGTTATTAGAAAAATTGGAGAGTCCATCTATCATTATACTGGATAACGCCCCTTATCACAGCATGATATTGAACAAAGTGCCCAACAATGCATGGACAAAAAAAAAATATCCAAGACTGGTTGACAAATCAAAACATACCATTTTTAAACACAATGTTTAAAACAGAGCTATTGAGTATTGTTGCTCGGTACATAATGCTTCTTAGTTATATATATTTTGGTCGACAGTTTATATTTCTTTTGTTTATTCCTATTCTTAAAATAACTGCTTTTTTAGAAACAAACCACCTAAAATATACGTGATTGATGAATTGGCGGAACAACATGGGCACAAAGTTCTTCGTCTGCCTCCTTACCATTGTATATTTAACCCTATTGAGTTAATTTGGGGCATAGCAAAAGGTTACTATAACAGACATATTGGTAGAGATGGTAACAGTGAAAAAGACTGTTTGGATATGTGGAACGAGGCTCTACAAACGGTTACCCCAGACATGTGGAAAAATAGTGTTCGACATACTGAGCAAGAAATTTTTAAATGGTATGAAAGAGAACGAATTTTTGATCGACCAGACATCGAACCTTTAATAATCAACTTTGAGAGTGATGAAGATTCAGATTCAGACAGCGCTGAAGAAAGAAACTCCGACTAACTTTATTGTACAGAAAAAGCTTACACCAGTAGCTTACCTAATTTTAGAATGCATTTTTCTGTATGAATTCTGTAAAATAAATACCATGCATAAAATTTGGAGGACCCCATTTGGATTTTTATTCAGTACCTTTAAGCTATCAATTAAATATGGTAGTTTCTTAGTGTCATCTGATCAATAATTGTCATACTTAATGATTATGCAAGTACAGATCTATAATTTTATTATACTATTATTTTTGTTCTCATTTGAGGTTAATATTGCTTATAAACCTAGATATATAAATAATAAATTTTATTATTTTACAAAAAGTTTGGCAACAATGTAAATTTTTCAACACACCCACCTTGATGACGTGCACGCCACTTTGTTTGGCGTTGACTATACAAACATATATTAAATTAACTAACAGTTTAATTTTTGTTTATACCTATATGCCTATGTAATTTAAACTACACAATAAAATAGTTTTCTATAAGCTACGTGTTTTTTTCCAACTTCATGCAACCAAATAATGAGTCAATGTGCTTCAGTCTACTGGCTTTACACTGACGCAGTGTTTTTCACTAGACTCATTTTCTCTTATTTACTTTCCGTAATTTGTCTGCAAATGACTAGACCTATGGCGTACTGATAATTGCTATAAAGCATGAAACAACTGTGTATATGGTTGGTTATGGTCGCTGAGATGGGAAGCAGACATCATCTAACCAGCCTGTGGATTAGAAAGTGAGAATAAAACAACCGGATATGGTTGATTGTTTCAATATTTTCTTCGTTCTAAAGAACCTCTAAAGAGAAATGAATTACCCCTGTGAATAGTCTGAGCAAAAGTAATGCGCACTATAGGGATTTAAAATTAAAACACCCAATATATCAGAACGTGTATTCGTACCTGATATAACCAGTAATAACACACCCAGTTAATCTAATTTACTTTTTGTAACTGGACTGTTTACATCATATTCTCTATGTCAAGGCCGGCTGGAATAAAAATTGAAAAGGGAAACACCCTTGTGCACCAGGTGGTGAGATTTCCTCATTAAAACACTATTGAGAAGCTAATTAACTGCATTTAAACGTGTGTGTTACACCTTGCGCTATCAACTTGTATCCTTAAATGGCTTCTGTAAAATCAAGTAATTGTGATGAGTCTCTTGGAAATGAGTGTGCAATTTCGATTTCAACCATAACTTCTCCTGAAGTACCGAGTCAGGGCACGATAGATCGTGCAATTACGGAAAAGCAGGTGAAAAATGTGCGAGCAAAAATAAGCTACTACTATTCTGGTACTAAAGGATATTTTCGGGAATACTGTGAGAGTACAACTATCCATGGCTTCAAGTACTTATCAGAAAAACGGTCAATATGCGAGAGGTAAACTCTATAATCTGTAGTTTTGATGATATTATTATACTCTATCTACTATGAAATAACTATCATTTATATTCTTAGTTATATTAGAAGTGTTACACTCAGAAAAAAACAACTTCTGTAATTTGTTTTTCTTGCTACTTAGTGACTATATATATATATATATATATATATATATATATATATATATATACAGGGTGACTTCGAAGTTGAGTCATTTATTTTAACAGTGAGTAGATCTGATCAAAAGAAATGTTTTTTCCTTTTCCATTTTTCTGGTAAAATTAAAGAAACAAAGTTTGAGTACCGCCCTGTCTCAATAATAATATTATGTGCTTGTGTTTGGCGACAACGGATATAATCCGCCTTATCGGTTCATCGCATCGGAAACAAAAAAGCGAAAGAATTTGGAACAATGTTTTTACAATTATTTCATTCAGTTGTATACAGTCAGTGTCAGTTGGTAACGCGTGAGTGAATAGTGGTGTCTGTTGCGTGGCTCAAACGAAATAAAAAATGGCACATGGCATACTTTATAAAACAAGGTGAAATTTTTTTTTATTTTTTTTTTATTTTTACACACATATTTTGGTTTATCTTCCTTCTACAATCATTATCTGAAAATTAATGACTCAACTTCAAAGTCACCCTGTATATTAATTTAAAGCATGCTGTGGCAGCAATGTCAACGTCTTATCTTTGTTTTTGTTTACCTTTGCCTAAAATACCATCTCTTAGTTTTTGTGAAGAAAGCAGTTTCTGAGAGCTGAGTAGTACAGCTATTTTTAGTTATCGCTCTTCCATTTACTAGTGTGTTAAGCATAACAAACTGCTCCGACTTCGATGTCGTCGAAATTATCGCCATGTTAGCGACTTTGACAAGTGCAGAATCATTGCTTACCGAGATGTTGATTTGTCCTATCGCGAAATAGACCGACGTGTTGATTGTACTGCAGTGACGGTAATGGGTGTGTGGATAGAAGAAGATAGAGGGACAGGAATAAGGCCAACTGGTACACCGAGGCGTACCACAGAGCGTGAAGATATGCGCTTCAGACAACTAGCCCTATGGTTTCAAGAAGAAGGTAGGTCTGTCACTATTCGTACACTTTGTCGTCGCATTTTCTCATACCGTCCACGGTTTGTGCTGCCTCTGCCTGCGGATGACTGTCGTCAAAGTTTGAGCTGGAGCAGATAATGGCAAAATTGGGAGGCAGAATGGCAGAATGTCAACTTCAGCGACGAATCGCGATTTTGTCTAGGTACGTACGATGGTCGTAGAAGGGTAAGGAACATGTCCCCAAATTGCTCGTCGTACTACGGACTTTCCTCAAGAAGCAGGAGTTAATGTTTCGCGTGGCCACGCCGTTCACCGGATTTAAATCCCATCGAACATGTGTGGGGTATGATGGGGAGTAGACTACCTACTTTGCACCATCCGACACAGGCTCTGCTACAGCTAATCCACGAAGTTGCAGTTGCTTGGAATAAGGTGTCACAACCAGACATCGATTATCTCATTTTGTCGGTGCCTAGACCCTAGACGTAATTTGGAGTTCATTGAGCTGCCGGGTCGCCCAACACATTATTAATTTTGTTTTCTTACTACATGTCAATAAAATTTCGTGGAAATGTTATCGTTTCATTCTCGATGTAAGACTACCTTATTGCCAAAAAATGAAGTTGAAAAAATAATTTTTTTCTGGGTGTATCACATCTGTCACTGAGTATACTTTCTGTGGGCTGAAATTATTTCAGAGTTTTTGATATAAATTGGTCAACAGAAATCAGGCTCTAGGGCATACTGCTTTTAAACTCTAACATATACCATCCAAAATCCAGCGCTTAGATATCAGTCAAAAGTTCTAAGAATTTATTTGATCAACTTTTGATATTCAAATTAAAGTTTGAATTGCACTAGGGCAAGCGCACGGCAGAGCTTGACAAGCCCTTGCAATTGCAACCTTTAAAATGCAATTCTTTACGACAAATCTCGGCTGGCGATTTTTGCAACATTTAATACTGCGCATGACGTGCGTCTGTTGCCTTCTTTGTGATTGCGACACTACGCAAATGATGATACTTAGTTTACTGACTATATCGAGCCTTTTCCGGCTCATGATACAGCACACATCTCTCGAACATCGAAATCAATGGTCAAATAGCAATGATTAGGCTGTTGTTGCGCAGACAAGCAGTTATACAGGTTGGCGCATCGAAAACGAAACACGCATTTACCGGCAGCTAAATTTTTTTTTTGGAAAAACGCTCAGGCTCGTCGATTTTGTTTTCGAGGGGGACACAAGTTTGGCAAAAAAACACGTTAATACGTACAGCCCCCTGGGCGGGGGTGACACCAACCCTAAAATCTTAAATTGAAAGGGGGGGGGGTGAGTCATAGGTACCTCATTTTAAAGGTCTTTCAACTCCCTTTTTAATGATGTAAAATACATGAGCCTCAGTTCGGTAGTTTTGAAGATTTATTAATTTAAAGCTTAAAGTAGACTTTAATAGGTACATCAGATTAGTTTGTAGTACTTTCAGAAGAAATTTGACTATAAGAATTTACTTAATAGGTAAATGCTTTTCTTCACTACGCCCATGGTTTGTTTATCATTTTGTTGTTGAAAATAGCTATTGGAGTGTTTTTTGTGGCAAAAAGTTATTTCTTGAAGAAAGATAAGGAAATATCTCGTACTTATTTTGAATAGGAATTTAGTACATTTGCGATTGATTTGACCAAACTTTGTTGCTAAAATAACTTATAACGCTTTATTACATAAATTAACCATGGTATATTTCACAGCAAAATTATCGAAATATTTTTCGGACATAATCAGTGCGCTAATAGAACAGCAGAAATATTTAATGAGCGATATGGGAATAGTAACGTGCATCAAAAATATGTTCTAGAACGTGTAGCTAAATTTCGGGAAACTGGGTCAGTCGCCAATAAAAAACGCAACATTGAAAATCCCATAAGGAACGAAGCAATAGAAATGAGGGTTTTAGGGCAAGTTTATGTAGATCCTACGTTAAGTACCCGCAAATTGGAGACTGTGTGTGGTGTTATTCGACGTACTGTCCAACGGATTCTAAAGGCCCATAGTTTTCATCCCTAAAAAATTCACCTGGTACAAGAACTTAATGAAGGCGATTTTGATCGGCTATTGCAATTTTGTGAATATGTGAGTGAACGAATTATGAACGATGAACATTTTCTAGTCAACACCTGATTTTCCTACGAATGTTTCTTTTTCTAAAATGGTGTAGTAAATCGTCATAACTGCCGATATTGGTCCGATTCTAATCCCAGAATTTATCATGAGGTTCATACATAGCAGCCATAAAAATTAAATGTTTGGGCTGGCATTTTTGGCGATCATTTAGTTGGTCCTTTTTTCTTACCTGAAAATTTGATCGGTGAAATATATTTGGAATTACGGGAAGACGCCATAGATCCAATATTAACAGCCATAATTGAAAATCAGAATGATCGGCGGTACATTGCGAATAGGTTGATGTTCCAACAGGATGGTGCCCCACCACATTACGCATTTCGTGTTCGACAATATTTAGATCAGACGTCTTCAGATCAATGGATTGGTGGAAGAGGTGCCATTGAATGGCCCTCGAGATCGACAGATTTATCACCTTTCGGTTTCTTTATGTGGTGTCATTTAAAAAGCAAAATCTATACTACTCAGCCAACATCATTAGAAGACCTGCGACAGAGAATGAGTGCCTTCAAATAACTTCTCAAATATTGCAAAATGTGCGGCAACGTTTTGAGCAAAATCTTTATTATTGCATGGAGAGTCATGGTGGCCATTTTCAACATTTACTTGCCTAACGGGTCAGTTCATTCTTGATTTTTAAATTACTTTGCTGCCAAATGTATTGATCTCCACTAATGATGATGTATTAGTTTTATTTAAGCTTTAAATCAATAAACCTTCAAAACTACTGAACAGTAGTACATTAATTTTATATCATTATAAAGGGAATTGAAAGATCTTTAAAATAACGTATAACTCGACCCCCCGCTTAGGGGGCTGCACGTGCTAAAACTTGTGTCCCCCTCGAAAACAAAATCGACGGGTCTAAGCATTTTTCAAACAAAAACTGAGCTGCCAGTAAGTGTGTCTGTTTCGTTTTCGATGAGCCACTCTGTATATGATATTCATGCTCTCCGTAACATCTTGTTGCAAAAGTATTAAAGCATATGGTGAAGGTCAGACCTTCGTTATTTGATAAAATCTGAGTTTCTCTGTGCGCAACAAAGGTAAGCGACTATAAAATTTGGTGGTTACTTTGAGGCGTAACACGTAGCAAAGGTATATAAAATACTATCACAAATTCTCTAAAGTACAAAGCCCAGCTTTTTTATATTTTCTTCAAAATAATATTAGGAATGACATCTATTTTCGGATGGCACAGTTTTAATTCCCTGCCAGATACCCTAAAACATTAAGAAATTGTTGTTAAACTTTCGTCATAGTATAAAAGCTGAAATTGATACAGGGTGACTTCTAAGTTGAGTCATTTATTTTAACAGTGAGTAGATCTGATCAAAAGAAATGTTTTTTTCCTTTAAGATTTTTGTGGTAAAATTAAAGTAACAAAGTTACAGCCCTTTAGAAGTTTGAGTACCGCCCTGTCTCAATAATAATATTATTCTGTGCTCGTGTTTGGCAACAACGGATATAATCCGCCTTATCGGTTCATCGCAAACAAAAAAGCGAAAGAATTTGAAACGCTGATCACGATGTTTTTATTCAGTCTGTGTCAGTCGCTAACGCGTGAGTGAATAGTGGTTTGCTGCGTGGCTCAAACGAAATAAAAAATGGCACATGTTTATGCGGATCGGTTTCCCAATCGAGTGCAACCAACCCCTCGTGCCTTTGTTAATGTAGTACAACGGGCTCGTGAATCAGGTGACTTAAGACCTCACAGGGGACAAGACCTCACGATCAAATACAGGTCCGCACTGAAATACTTGTCGGGAGGATACTTTATAAAACAAGGTAACATTTTTTTTATTTTTTTTTTATTTTTACACACATATTTTGGTTTATCTTCCTTCTACAATCATTATCTGAAAACTAATGACTCAACTTCAAAGTCACCCTGTATATGCTACTTGGGGGACTACGAAAAGATATTACCCTAGTAGCTAGACAGTTTTAGATGCCAACAAATCTACTAGAATTGACTATATGGCAGCAGTATTTATCAAAAAATGTAAAACGAATTTATACAAACCTCTTAATTTAATTTACACCTCTTTAGAATTTAACACATTTCCCGATGCTTGGAAGGAGTCTTCCGTTATCAGTATTTTTGAGAGTGAATACAGGTACATGTCAGACAAATAACTACAGGACTATTGGCAAGCTGGGCATATTCTCTAAGATGTTTGAGAAGATAATTGATAACCAATTTCTTTTGATGTAAAAAACGTAATCATTCAGCAACAGCATGGATTTTTACGAACAGGTGCCTGGATACCAATTTGCTTTGTGTTTCTGGCTTCGTTCCCGATGCTTTGGACATAAATTTCTATTTATACCAACTTCAGCAAGACTTTCGATCGAGTTAGTCATAATTGGCGACATCTAACCACATTTTTATACCGTATATACCTTTCCCAGCATGATCCTTTCTCTTTTTTTTTGTGAATCCTGCACAATGTGTAGGTTGGCGACTTCTTGTGTCTCCATCTTCGTTTCCTCAGGTTACATCCGTATCCTGATGAATGGGCATATGTGTCTACTGTTGTAGTTATATATGTGCATTCATTTCGGGCATGCTGAAGCCAACAAGCAGAAATTCGTCTTGCTCGGGTTACCTATCCTTTTTTCCTGCTCCAGTCCAGTTTCCTTCTTTTTGCCGAATTACCCGTTATATTTTTCTATTTATTAGAATCTTATATATTTTAGAATACTCTGGCTGCTCTTGATTTCGCTGTCGATATCAGCATGTGGGTTTCTGATCAGCAGGATATACAACAGATTCATAACAAGCCCAGTTATAGTAAGCTTTGCAACCAAAGAGTCTCCGTTGTATTCCATCCCATTTCCAGCTGTCACCATTTGCCCTATGACCAAAGTGAAAAAATCCGTCTACGATTTTACTAGAATCATTTATAGGGTTGAAGATATGAGAAGGATAACTCATCAAGAGTAAGTTATTTAATCAGCCTGTTATTATGGATAATGTAGTGAGCGTAAGTGCAGTGTTGGCAGTTTTGTACCCAGACATATACAGTAGGGTGTCCCAGAAAAACGAAATGAATGAAGTGGTGTTTCTTGAAGCACATAAAGGTTTTCACCTGACCATTAACGCAAATTCCGTTTGTTGACGAAGCCGTTTAGCCAAAAATGCGCCTCATCAATGAAGATGATTTTGCGATGAAATTGGTCATTTTGTTACAACATTTCTAGAGCCCAATTCGAGAACGTCACGTCGGTTCATATGATCGAACTGCTTTAGTTCTTGAGTTAACTTGATTTTACAAGTGCACAGGCCAAGATCACTTCGCAAAATTCGCCAGAGTGTGGCCTGAGCGATGCCCAATTCTTGAAAACGCCATGGAATCGACGTGTTCTATTCGTTTGACACGGAAGCATTATTCTCGGCACTTCGAACAACCTGTTGTCTCACTGATACGGGAACATCCAGCAGCATATGTGGACACGAACTTTTTTTACTGGACTATGAATTGCTTGTTTGTTGGTATGAGAATTACGACCAAAAATTGGCGTTAACGCTCTTAAAGTTGCAGGCACCTACTCGGAATTTCGCTAGTAAATTTCAATTATTTCGTTCGTGTACTTCACGACGATGAAAATGTTTTGACATTGACAGTTCGGTAATTTATTTAAAGGTGCATTCACAGTGGAAGTTCAAAGTCGTCAAGTCCCTATTGGAAAACCTGATATAAACAAAATATACTAAGTGACATATAAATCCGAACACCCAGTTTAAATGGTTTTACTTTAATAAAAGTTGGTGAATGTATTTATCTTACTGTAAATAACAAGTGAAAAAATTTTCAGCCGTATCAGTTGGACATTCCGGTTTTTATACTGCTTTTTTTTAATTCAGTATCGCTGAAGGTGCATTCTCAGTGGAAGTTCAAAGTCGTCAAGTCCCTATTGGAAAACCTGATATAAACAAAATATACTAAGTGACATATAGATCCGAACACCCAGTTTATATGGTTTTACTTTAATAAAAGTTGGTGAATGTATTTATCTTACTATAAACAACAAGTGAAAAAATTTTCAGCCTTATCAGTTGGACATTCCGGTTTTTATACTGCTTTTTTTTAATTCAGTAACGCTCTAAAAATGAATATTTCAGAAGCAGTAAAGAATCAACGTTGGCGGATTTTGGTTCTTGACATCCTTTACGATCGGTTACGATGCCTAGAGTACGGAGACCTGTACGATTTCGTCAACTTAGTGAGTTTGATAGGGGCCGTATAGTGTGACTTCGGGAAGCTGGACCTTCTTTTCGGTCAATTGCAGTTAGAGTGCAAAGAAGTGTAGACACTGTGGTTAGGTGTTGTCAGGCATGGCTTCGAGAAGGTCGTACGCAAAGAGCAAGGGGCACTGGACGCCGCCGTAGAACAACAGACCGTGAAGATCGCCGCCTAAGATTATTGGCCTTAAGGGACCGTTTCTCCACTACCAGGTCCATTGCAAATGAATACTTTGCAGAACACGGAAGACCTATTGGCATGCGAAGTGTTTACCGACGAGTGAGAAGTTTTGGCTTGTTTTCATACCGGCCACACTGGGTCCTCCCTTTAACTCGAGAACACTGACGTAATCGCCTTGAGTGATGCAGACAACGGTCACTCTGGGATCAGGAATGGAACAGTATTGTCTTTAGTGACGAGTCTCGATTTTGTTTAGGCATGCACGATGGTCGTGCCAGGGTTAGAAGGCGACATGGTGAAAGGAGGAATCCAAAGTTTTTTGTTGAAAGACATGTTCATCACACTGTTGGAGTTATGGTTTGGGGTGCTATAGCTTATGGTTCCAGGTCACCTTTAATCTTCATCAGAGGTAACATGAACGCGCAGCGTTATATCTACGAAGTTCTAGAACCCCATCTTTTACCCTATCTTGACACCCTGGCAGATCCAACTTTCCAATAAGATAATGCCCGACCACATGTTGCAAGAGTCACAATAGACTTCTTTCAACATAATGATGTCACATTGTTACCATGGACACCAAGATCTCCCGACTTATCCCCAATTGAGCACGTGTGGGATATGATGGGTAGGAGATTGCTCAATTTTCAACGTCCTCCTCAGACTCTAGAAGCACTTCGAGAGGAGTTGGTGGTTGCCTGGAATGAGATACCACAGGAGGACATTGACCACCTGATCAGAAGCATGCGTAGGCGCGTTGGAGAATGCGTAGCACATCAGGGTGCATTCACACATTATTAAAGGTCAAAGGGCTTTAAAGCAGTGCAATCATTTTGAAATTTTTATCATATACTTACTATGCTTCATTAAGTACTTATACAAAATTTTGTTAAAATAAAACCATTTAAACTGGATGTTCGGATTTATATGTCACTTAGTATATGTGAAATTTACCAAATGAATACTGAGTATTTTTCTTCAATTCTGATTATGATTTCACTGCCGTTTAACCGCAAATTAGCTTTGTTATTTCAAACGGGTGTTTCAAACTGGACCGTCATCATTGGGATCTCGGAGATTGTAAGAGATCCAAAGTTACTTGACAAGAGACAAAGTTGCGTGTTTGAGTAATCAACAAAATTCCGTTTAGAAAGTTTCAAAATTCAAAGTACTTCCGGAGAGAGACAGAAAAAACGGAATTTTCCAATTTTTTTTCCTGGCTTTATTTGAAGTGAGATGTCAAAATAAATCACACACTTACATTGCCACTATTTCTTCTCTACAAGATGGCATAATTAGAATTTCAATATGACGTTACGTCTCTTGTCCTCCAGCACCAACTTTATTTTTCCTTAGGGACGCCATATTGAGTTTTTGCGCAGATGGAGAGTTTTTAATTTTGCTTTCAAAAATATGTAATATTCGCCAAACCTCACTCAATCCAGAAAAACAGAAGCCTGTAGCCAATACTATCAAATACCATTTGTTTCGTATACCAGACCAGACCTCAAGTTGAACATAACAACAGAGTTTGAAAGGCTCAGAAGAAGAGAAATAAATCGAGCAGTGAACAATATCCATAGAAGAGTCAGTCGTTACCTCCAAAATAATGGACATTTTAAACATCTCCTATGATTTAAGGCGGCTCCGACGCAGTGAGTTTCAAGGCATTTACAAGAGTTCAGCTGCTTCAAAACTGACAGTCCATTTTTCAATACTTTGAATGAAATTGATGCAGTACGTTGAGAAGATAATTGCGCAGGGTGCTACAGGAGCACTTTTCGAAATTTTGTTTTTGCACAAGTTTTATGATGGGTTGAAGTGCGCACTTTTTCTGTTCAACTTAACTTAACTTAAAAAGAACCTAGTGAAAAAAATGAATAAGTGGCTCTATAGCACCCTGTGGGGGTTTGTTTTCAGCAGTGAAAATTTCATCCAAAACTATCAAAAAATAAAGCGTCAATTTTGTAGAGCGCAAACCTCTACAAATCGCATTTTGGACGAATTTTGTCTACTGTTTCGTGCTGCCAAACCAAGCGTTGCGGCGCAATGTACAGACTAAGGCCCGTATCGTCAGTCGTCCCTACAATTGTAGGGCGCCTTTATGTTCTCCTTGATTGTCATAGTTTTCTACTTCTCCGTGTCAGAACTCTATTTTGAGGTTATGTCACAAACATCTATTTGCATCAAATTGTGCTTGCTTTTGAGTTATATCATGTTTTATCAGCCTGAAATTTCCTACAATTTAAAAAGAAAATATATCTTCACAATACGAGAGCGCTCACGCTGACACGGGACAAGTGTAATCTAGAAATTTTTGAAGGAGAGAAAGGAGTATGACAATCAAGGAGTCCATAAACGCGCCTTGCAATTGTAGGGACGACTCACGATACGGGCCTAAGAAAGGACGTATTCAGATAATTTGGTGGCCCTATTTCATATAATATCGCGTAGATAAGTCGTTCTGCACATAGGTACTCATAATCGTGATCGCTGATACTCCTCGACCTTAAAGCCGTTTTACTTCCCACGTCATTGGCGAGGAAGTATTGTAATCGCGAAAAATTTCTAAAATGAGATGTTATGTTTTTTTAAGTCATATGACATCTATATCACGAAAAACTATCACTCATCATCAACTTGGAAATTACCGCTCGGATTTTTATGAAATTTCCACACGCGGTTACTAGTATGCCAAAGCTTTGTTGTCTTAGTCCAGTCGAAACGGTGCTATAGGCAAAAAAGAAAAAGTAACAATTGCTGAAACTCCTTTTTTGACGTTTCAGCGTTTCAGGGGTTCCTAATCATTGACATACAACATTTTACTGCTTAAAGGGGGGGGGGGTAGCTTCTGATCCCAGTGATTACAGGAAATTTAAGTATCGAAAATCCGACGAATAATGTGCTCACGATTTAAAAAAATCGGTACCTGCTCTATAGGTTTGACACCAACAGCCAACAGATCTGCAACTACCGATATCACTCCAGTCAAGTATAGGGGAATTTAGCGTGGAACTTTAAAATTATCGATATATAAAGGAAATATGTTTTTGAGAACGATCATTTGGTAGATTTTATACCTGCATTTTCATTTGAATTTCATAACCCGTGAAATGTACCCATTTCGCCGTTACCTTTTGTGTTCTAAAGTTTGTGATGTTTTTCTGGATATCAGCAGGCCATAATTGCCTAAGGTACTATCAGAGCTTTTTACAAAATTTACAAAAAATGGTGGGTTGACATGCTCACTACTTGTGCTCAACTTCTTGATATTTTAAAAAGATCCTAGTGGATAAAATCGAAAAAGTGCAAGAGTATGGAAATAATAAAAGTAAGGTGTGAAGTGCAAATCGGTTTTTGGGCGAAATTCATCCAATGTTTCGTCCTGCCAGTCCAAGCGACGCGACGGTGCGTTCCAACTAAGAAAAAATGTATTCAAATAATTTTATATCTTTCCTAAAATAAATTCAAGAACTCAAATTCTAATTCGTTTATTCATGTCAATAAACACAATTATGTT